CGACACAATAACATACGTACAAAACAAGACACAATAATGTACGTAGAAAAAACGGCACAATAACGTACATACAAAAAAGACACAATAACATACGTTCAGAAACACGACACAATAACGTACGTACAAAAACATGACAACGCTTCCTGTGAGTTGATGGTCTTCAGACTAAATCTGAGGCACAATAACGTACGTACAAAACATGGCACAATAACGTACATACAAAAACACGGCATTATAACGTACCTATAAAAACATGACACAACAACGGACATACAAAACACGACACAACAACGTACGTACAAAACATCACACAACAACGTACGTACAAAACATGACACAACAACGTACGTACAAAACACGACACAACAACGTACGTACAAAAAACGACACAATAACGTACGTACAAAACATGACACAACAACATACGTACAAAAAACGGCACAATAACGTACGTACAAAACACGACACAATAACGTACGTACAAAACATGACACAATAACGTACGTATAAAACAAGACAATAATAGAAACAAATAATCAAATAATAAATAAAAAATAAATAATCAAATAATCAGAAACAGGACACAATAACGTACGTACAGAAACACGACACAATAACGTACGTACAAAAAACGACACAATAACGTACGTACAAAAACATGACAACGCTTCCTGTGAGTTGATGGTCTGCAGACTAAATCTGAGGCACAATAACGTACGTACAAAAACACGGCATTATAACGTACGTATAAAAACATGACACAACAACAGACATACAAAACACGACACAACAACGTACGTACAAAACATGACACAATAACGTACGTACAGAAACATGACACAACAACATACGTACAAAAACGCAAAATAAACGTACGTACAAAAAAACGACCACCATACGGTATCGTACAAAACAAGAAAACAATGAACGTACGTACAACACAAGAACACAATTAACGTACGGACAATAAAACCGACACAAATAAACGTATCGCTACAAAACATACAACGCTTCCTGTGAGTTGATGGTCTTCAGACTGAATCTGAGGTTTTCTTCTTCTGCAGGACGGAGAAACTCCGTTGGAAATCGCGACCAGACTGAAGTTCAAGAAGATCGTCAACGTGCTGAAGAAAGCGCGCTGATGATGAAATATTGTTACAGCTGATGTTTGTGTTCAGTTACTGACAGAATGACAATATGGAGGCTGCTGCAATTTATTTGTTACAGGACGTTGATGTTACATTTATATTAACCCAAAATAACATCAGCTTCATCAAACTGCTCCAGGCTAGGCTAGCCATTTCCCTCTGCTTCCACTTTCTGTGCTAAGCTAGCGGTTTTCCCTGTTTACAGTCTTTGTGCTAAGCTAAGCTAACACTTCCCCTCTGGTTCCAGGCTTTATGCTTAGCTAGGTTAGCGGTTTTCCCCTGGTTCAAGGCTTTGTGCTAAGCTAGGTTAGTGGTTTTCCCCTGGTTCCAGGCTTTGTGCTAAGCTAAGCAAACACTTCCCCTCTGGTTCAAGGCTTTGTGCTAAGCTATCGATGGTGCAGTTTGCTAATGTAGCTCATCTAAGGTAACACTGACGGCAATATTGGCTAGCACTTTCTTAATGCTAAGCTAGGCTTATCATGGCTTGACAAGAGTACTGTTGATAATAATAGTAAAATTTATTTTTTAAGATGAAACAGAAACAAATAAAAGATCAATAGAAACAATCTGTAAGTAAGAATGTAAAATATAAATATTGATGCATTTCAAATTAAAGATTTCTTTATTTCAAAATAAAATTGATTATTAACAAAAACACGTTATTTTGTTTATGATGAGATTCATTGTTTAATGAAATCTGGTTCATCAGAAATACAAACAGATTAAAATATGATGTAGATAACTTTAAAGGATTAGCCCCGCCCACCACAATTCAAGGCATGTGATTGGATTGGCTACAGATTTTCACAATAAGAGTTCCACAAATATGAGTTTGTGTGGCTGAGGCAGCTCGCAGGTTCACAAAATAAAATCACAGAATCACAGTTATTTTAAATGATTAAAGTTTAAAATGTTTGTTTATGAGTCAACAACCTCACACACACCGCCTCTGTAAACAGCATGTTAGCGTGATGTTAATACACGCTTTTAAAAAAACGCTGATCCACCTGTTGAGTATCAGTACAGGTACATCATAACACACACACACACACACACACACACACACACACACACTAATGTTGCTGCAGCAGTTTCAGGATGGAGGGAAACATCACTTCTGGAGCGTCCAGACCCCAAATGAAATCCAAATGTTCCCAGTGTTCAATGTGCTGATAGTAGACCAGGTTAGACACCTGTACACAGACAGACAGGCAGACAGACAGGCAGACAGACAGGCAGAGATTACATCAGGAGCGTCTTTCTCTCACTGTAGACTGTAGCTCTCTCAGTCCAACTGCTAACTCGCTAACACATTCTCTGACATCATAACAGGAAGGAAGTAACTGATTGGACAATGTATCCTAAAATAATCCTCTGGGGTCTACCACCTGTGACCTCTGACCTGTGACCTGGTTGGATCAGAGGACTCACCTGAGTGAGGAGGACAGCGACATCTTTGGGGTCTGCCAGCGTATCCTGTCCCCCTGAGAACAGAGCGGTGGGAACCTTCATGTTCTCGACCTGGTACAGAGGGGGGGTGGACTGAGGGCAGACAGACAGACAGAGAGACAGACAGACAGACAGACAGACACACAGAGAGAGAGACAGACAGACAG